CTCTCGAGACAGCAGTGTAAGATATCAAATCCAGTTGCTTTTTTTTATCAGACATTTATTTTAGAGATTGAGATTAAAGTGCTTAAATATTAAACATTACATTCAATACAATAAAATAAAATAATGGTATCTGGTTGTCTGACTAATCTATTTTTAATCTACTTTTCTTATCCATAGGGTCAAGGTGCCACCGTCTACTCTTGCGCCAAATTCAATGGTGCACTGAGGTTAATTCGTTCCACACTGAACAATCAAATACTGACTCAGGATAATATAGTAAGGCCCTTTTTCAGAGACCATTAATGCATACAATCTGATTAAAATATAATAGCTTTGACTGCCACATCCTCTAGCTAGTGACCTGTAACAACCAGCAATAACACAATCAAATGCCTGTAGTTATTTACTGCTGTAGATGAATTGTGGCCCACTCAAGCTTTAGTTCTCTGATATTTGAAGGCTTTTAGGCATGAGCTGTGCATTTTAAGTAATTAAGTAAGTAAAATAAGTAAAATGCCAGAGCATTTCAATAGTGTTTAAGTACTGCACTGCATTGACTAGCCAAAACTTACAGTACATTTTCTTGATTTTCAGCCATTCTGAGCAAAGCTTGCTTGTATGTTTCAGATAATTTTTGTGTCAGCAATCACAAAGATTTTCCCACAGCACTGTATATGCATTCTCAGAAGCAGTTTATGTGCCATCTTAGCAGTGTAATATTAAGTAATATTACTTCTGTTTTGCCGCAGTTCATCCCTGGAAGCTTCCGTGGCTCAGTGATTGGTAGAAAGATTCAATGCATTTTTAATGCTGCAGGTCTCAGCAGCACCACCCGGTCTGCAACCACAGGCACTTTTGTCTTCCTTGTAACAGGCAGCATATCAAATGGTCAGTGCAACACTTTCATCAAGTAACTGACATATATTTTGTTGTGAAACAGAAGTAAACCATTGTCTTCCCTCTACTCATTCCTCCAGGTTCTCTGGATTCTCCAGTCAGTAGACTGACAACAAATGGGTCTGTGGACTTAAGCAACCCTAACAGCACTGACGTTTCAGTAATAACACCTAGTACGAATGCCACTGCATCTAATACCACAGCAACATCAACCACCACGGCGGCTTCTACAAACTTGACCCAGACGCATCCTCCCAACATGACCACCAACGTGACCCAAATGGGTC